GAGTTTCGACCGTAGCTCATATATACATATATTTACATTTATACACACACACACATATGTATATATATATATATGGGACCCCCCCCCATGAACCCCACAGCGTGTGCATATATATATATATACACATGTATAGAAATCCGTTAAAGGGTGCCTGCAGCCATTTCGCGAAGCATGTAGTGCTCCACAGCTGAGGCCCCGGCCGCAACCGGCGACTGAAACACCGAAACTGGCTTGCAATTAAGAAAGTTAAATTATGTTACCATAACGTGGGTTCAATGTTAGGGATCCTTTATACTTTTTGGGGATTCCTTGTATTTAGAACTTAGGTGAGTAGTATCTTATTTGGGGATACTATGGTACCCAATACAGAGTAAGATTGTATCCTCCTTTTGGGGTAAAGTACTTTATATAAGGAATAAATCTTACTAGGTTTAAGCACCAGAACAACACTACTCACCATCATGTGGATATGTAAGGTTAGGGTTTAGCTTGCCATAATATGGGCACATGGTTAATGATAGGGCTTCCTTACTATAGTCTTGGGTGCTGCCCCCACCCAGTAACAGTCCATATTAGGGGTCCTACTAAGGGCTATATATAACCATCATATAATTATTATCCAACTGTTACTGAGGGGGGGGGGGGCAGTACCCAACTATAGTCACATAAATTAAGTTCCTCACCAGCATCCCAGGAAATCCTCGCCGCTGAAGCGGAAACCTTCGGCTGCAAACCTGAGGATCCGTTGCAATTGAGACTCAGGGTCTGGGTTTCAGGTTTCAGCGTCTAAGGTTTAGGGTCCAGGGCTTAGGGTTCAGGGTTTAGGGTTCAGGGCTTAGGGTATAGGATGTATTCTTAAGGTTTCAGAGTTAAGGGTTTGGGGATAACACGTAGGCTTGAAGGTTTCAGAGCGTAGGGCCAGGGTGTAGGGTCATGAGGTGTTCAGGGTTAGCGGCTTGGCTTCCCTGGTCCATGGGGGAGTTCTCGAAACGATAGGTCTGCAGTCTCCTTAGGAACTATCTCTAATTTTTATTCTAGTATAACTCTAAGGAATTAGTAGAAATACCAGTTTTATTATAGGTCTAAGGAGACTACAGATGTCCCCTTTGAGGGTTTAGGGTTTAGGGCTCAGGGCGTGGTGCTAGTCGGAGAAGTCCTGTTTCTGAAGTGCCCGGGTAGGATGCTGTTAGCATGCTTGGTTTTTCGCCCAAGCTTAATTTCCACTGCTTTCCCCCACATAAACCCGCACTTATATCCCTATATTCCCCAACGTAATCCGTCTATAACCCAAACCTATCCCTATACAACCTCCACATAGCCCAACCTGAAGCCTAAATCCTAAATCCCTAGTGGATCCGGGAGTCTATGGACAAGGCAAGTAGCAGGGATATCGTAGGATGCCAGCAGACCCAGTAGATTAGGGTTCAGGGTTTGGGATGTAGAGTTGTGTGTGGATTGCGGCCGGGGTGGAGAGCATCTGCTTCAATGTTCTTCGGATGCTGGCCTAGGGTGCTTGAAATCCTGCAGTGTCAATGCTTCAAGTTTCGTATTCTGTGGGTTCGGGGTGCTTACCCTCGATTGGGCTCATCCGTCAGTCCTGCAGCAATCTGCAGTAATTGGAGAGCAAACCTTGGATGGTCTTCTGCGTAAGCAGACTTGGAGCAGGAAAGCGCTCAAGTTTTGGCCATGTTATAACTGTAGCGTATAGCGTGTATATAGATGTAATGCTAGCATTTCGTTTCAGAACTACCTTCCTCTGCAAAACGTCTGGGCAGGGCCCCTGTCTGCATCATGTCGATCACCCTTCATGTCAGCCTGCTGAGTGGAAGGACAGTTCCGCTTGAAACTGGCCTAGACGTTGATGTTAGGGAGTTCAAGCAGCGTGCGCAGAGGGCTCTGTCACTTGGAAGGGGCAGACTTATCGACTCCAACGGGTCAGTGTTGGATGAAGCAAAGGTCATCAGAGACTGCAAACTACAGAACAATGATATATTAGTTTTTCAAATACAGGCAGTGACGATTCAGGCGGCCGTGGACTGTGAGCGCGCTGCATTTGCTGCCGTCCTTGGCGATGGGTCCATCACTACCTGGGGCAGTGCTGCCTGTGGTGGCGACAGCAGTGCTGTACAACATCAATTGAGAAATGTACAGCAGATTCAAGCCTCTCGTCGCGCTTTCGCAGCTATCCTTAGCGATGGATCCGTGGTTACCTGGGGTCCTGCTGACGCTGGTGGCGACAGCAGCTCTGTACAAGATCAACTGAGGAATGTGCAGCATATTCAAGCTTCTGGCGGCGCTTTTGCAGCTATCCTTGGCGATGGATCTGTGGTGACCTGGGGCCATGCTGACTTTGGTGGCTACAGTGGTGCTGTGCAAGACCAGCTGCGAGACGTGCAGCAAATACAAGCCAATTCTGTCGCTTTTGCTGCCATCGTTGCTGATGGTTCTGTGGTGACTTGGGGGACTGCCAATCTTGGTGGCGACAGCCGTGTTGTGCAAGATCAGCTCAAGAATGTGACGCAAATCCAAGCCTCTGAGTATTTGTTTGCAGCTTTTGCAGCCATCCTTAGCGATGGATCTGTGGTGACCTGGGGAGATGCTCACTATGGCGGCGACTACAGTGCTGTATCCGATCAATTGAGAAACGTACAGCAGATCCAAGCTTCTCATGGCGCTTTTGCCGCCATCTTGGGTGATGGATCTGTAGTGACCTGGGGGAGTCCTGCCTGTGGTGGCGACAGCAGTGCTGTTCAATATCAACTGACGAATGTACAGCAGATTCAAGCCTCTCGTCGCGCTTTCGCAGCTATCCTTAGCGATGGATCCGTGGTTACCTGGGGTCCTCCTGACGCTGGTGGCGACAGCAGCTCTGTGCACGATCAACTGAGGAACGTGCAGCAGATTCAAGCTTCTGGCTGCGCTTTTGCAGCTATCCTTGGCGATGGATCTGTGGTGACCTGGGGCCATGCGAACTATGGTGGCTACAGCGGTGCTGTGCAAGATCGGTTGAGGAATGTGCAGCAGATCCATGCTTCTGATCGTGCTTTTGCAGCCATGCTTGGCGATGGGTCTGTGGTGACCTGGGGCCATGCCACCTCTGGTGGGGACAGCAGCACCGTGCAACACCAGCTGGTGAATGTGTGGCAAATCCAATCCTCTGACCGCGCTTTTGCAGCAGTGCTTGGTGATGGATCCGTGGTGGCCTGGGGCTATTCTGAAAGTGGTGGCTTGGGCAAGATCAACTGACGGCCCTGGAGAAAGATTGTCTATGGCGCGCAGATGTGCTGGTTGGGTGTTGCCATGGTCATTCTAGATTCTACAAGCTAGGGAATACGGGGGTCTAAATAGTTACCATTACTGTCACCCCCATAAGATACTGGAGAATCAAATGGAAACGAAAATGGAAAGTGAAATGGAAGCTCGGGTTAGGTGGGGGCTTTGTAGCTATGATTTCAAATATGTACCACGTTCTTTGTATAGTTATGGTATAGACTTCCTCGAATAGACCTGGACATGCCATTGGTAATTATTGAGACTTCTACAGTACTTTTGTTGACCTTAAACCCTAAACCCTAAACCCAAGAGTAGACCTACAAGGGACAGGGACGAAAGTACCCCGACGCTGCCGAGCTCCGGACTTAGCGCTTGGAGTCTTTTAAGGCTATTCTGGGCTAATTGAGGCTGCGTAGTTGGGAGGGAGCCTAGGGGGGAGCAAGGGAACCCCTGGAGTTTGTGATTTTGCAAGTTGATTTCTGTCCTACGTGGCATATAAACTGTGGCGAAAGGCTTTCTAGGTACGACGTGAGAGGTGCCGTCATTGCAGTTGTTGTCATTCTTCACCTCGACAGATCACTTGGTATGATGGTTTTGGTGCCGTTGCCAGTATGGCTGTCGTACGTCTATGTTTGCTGTTAAAACTTGATTGTTGTTGTTACAACAATGAGTTCCTTTGGTTTTTCCCGAGCCACAACAGCTGCCACTTCGACAGCTTCTGACGATTCGAAGGTTTCTATTCTCTTGCTGTCTAGCATATATTGTACGTGGATTTGATATTTGCCGGTCGAGCTTTCTGACTGTGGGGCATGGGCTTCTCAGGGCATGAGGGTTTAGCGAGTAAAGTCGTGGGGTATCGTGTGCATGTGGAATGGTAAAGCTGGAGCTTAAGTCGCTCCATGTTTCCTCTCCTGCGCCAAAGCTGCCAGGGAAAGTCATCCAGTAATTGTTCTGAGAGGGTTGAGAGCTTGAAGCAGTTAGATTTTGCGATGTGCCATTTAGCTTTTCAATGTTTGGGACTGGCGACAAAGTAATCCTCTGCCCCTAAACAGCTCCCCTTCCCCTTTCGAAGGAGACCCAACTATCACTAAGGGTGTAGGGTTGGGGGTGTAGGGTTATATGGCGGTACTGTGTTGAGAATCGTGATTATTGGGAAGGTTTGAAGGACTGGGTCATTCTGAGGAGACAGGAGGCCTCATTTATCCATCGTGTTGGGGTTAAGGGGTTAGGGTTGAAGGTTTAGGTTTGAGGATTTAGGCCCCAAATTAATTTGGAACCCCCCCCCCCCCACGGGCGCAGTAGATCTTTTTCAAAAAAGTCACGTATAGCCCTTAACGTTGCCCTCCCCGATTATGGACTTTTTTTAAAAAAAAATAAACCTCTGAAGATTACCTCAGTAGCCTTAGTATAGACATGCCAATTACCAGTATTACCCTGAAGATGATTACCCGGTTTAGGGGTTTAGGGTTTAGGGTTTAGGGTCTGGGTGGGGGCAGTACCTAACCTATACCTTTATCTGCAAGGGGCTCCTCGTTAGATGTTTGGGGTCGCCATGACAAAGACTTTGTATTTCTGGGGTGTGCTAAGGAATCCCAACCCCTTAACAAGGTTTATCGCATTTTGGGATCTACATTGGGGTTCCCCCCATTTAGGGAAACTACCCTATCACCCTTACGCAAGCCATATCGACTCCCTACGTAATTCCTAATTATGCAACCCTCATTTGGGTAGTTCTACACATTAGGGTCCCATTGTAGCACCGCCCCCCGATATCAAGTGCTTTAATATGATAGCCAAAAGTGGCCTACATTTTTGCGAGTAACCCTAATCCCTAAACCTCAAACCCTGAAACCCTAGACCCCAATCCCTAAACTCTAAGCCCTAAACCACAACCAAAACAGTGAAGTCTGAACAGGACACCCAGTGCTCCGCAACCTTCGGATAAAGGAGCTGCAAAGTCACTGGGCTGCGCTCGTAGACCTGGGTGTTAGGGTTTAGGGTGTAGGGTTTTAGGGTTTAGGGTTTTAGAGTTTAGGGTTTGAGGTTGTTAGGGTTTAGGGTTTTAGGGTTAAGGGTTTCAAGGTTTCAGGATTAGAACGTAGGGCCTAGCGGATCCAGATTCCTTGCATGGTTGTGGTATAGGGTACCTCAAGCAGACTTCAAAACTATCTTGATAATGGCTTATAGGCCCTTGCATCAGGTGGTTTTAGGGTTTAGAGCATAGGGCAACAGGGATTATACAGGGAGTGCATACGGCTTACTTGGTTTGTTTTAACCAGGCTGCGTAGAATTTGGACATCTGCCTGCTGCTTCTGGCAGGGACGTTCCTGCCATTTTGCCGATGTCCAGCTCAGAGGTAGCTTAGTCCTGATAACCCCCATATAACCCCAATGTCTTCCCCAGTTTCCATTTCATGTTCCATGCTTTTTCCAGCTGATTCCCCCTTATTGGGGTAATATCCTTATATGTCCCTGTATACCTTCTTCAAGAGGTTTCAGTTCGTGCTGAAGGACGGGAGTTCGTAGATTTAAGCTGGGTTGGCCTTTGGGATACTATTTTGCCTTATTGGTTTTATAAGGACCCTATACCCTATACCCTAAACCCTAAACCCTAAACCCTAAAGGCTAAGCAAGTAGGGATTGCCTTCCCTTGTTCCCTACTCAGCCCCAGTACCTGGACCCCAAAAGTATGTAAAACAATGG